TTATCTACTCTCTCAATCTCTTCTTACCGTGAGGAAGTGAGTCCAACTTGAGAGTCCTCTCTTTTGGTGAGGTGTCGTGAGCGCGCTACCTTGAGAGACGACAATCTTCCCGGAAGCATACTGGAAGGAGAAAGGGCGGTGCCTCTGAAGGGCCCTGGTCGAAGCACTTGGGTCACGGTCACCATGCCAACCCACAGGGAGTAGTGGACGCATGCGATGGCTGCTGTCCTGTTTGGCACTTGCTGCGCTGATAGAAGTTCCTCCGGGTGTGCCAGCCCATGACAGACGCTTACCAGACCGTCTATAAACATTTCTGGTTGGGAGTTCATTGTGAWTCTGGCTGTGATCGTCGTCCTGASTGCGACATTAAATAATTCCTGAAGAGATGGGGGCGCTCTATAAATCCCTCCTGATCAGCCAGATCACATGGACAGGAAGGCTCGTCGCCGTACGAGGGTAAATAAGAGTGGTTGGGCCGGCTTGCTCGGTGACAACTTGGGCACAGGGGTGGGCCGAAATGCACACGAAGACACTGCCTGCTCAATGATGCTGTTCGGATGGTTGGATTGAGGGGAGGGAAGGTTTCAATTGGTGCTCAACTGTATACACAACCATACCCATCAATCATACATCTGCTACATTGTCTTTTTGTACCTTTGATTAGTTGGTTGACGGACTGCTAACCTCACATACAGATTAGTGTTGAACTGTTGTATGATACCATAGCCAGTACTAACTAATGCTGTTGTAACTGAACCATTCAGGGTGCATCTAGACTATGTAGACGATCTGTGTGAATGTTGTAGACATGCCACTTGATTCGGTATAGTAGGGGACTCGCCGGACACAACTATATATAGAAACTTTTATGCCGGTCAGATACATGTTGCGGTAGGATTCCACTAGGGGATTCTAGTGTAGACACTATCTGTCTAACTAATGAGTCGGTCAGATCCTGTTGATGATAGAGCTGACAACAGGAGACTAACACGTGCACGGGCACTAAGGGTACCGCACGTGTTTCAGGCCTTGGAGCCGGGAGAAGAAAGAAGGATACGTAGAGCCCGTGCGCTAGCAGCGGGGATAGCAGAAGCAAACAGAGCAGCAAGAGAGCAGGCAAAAGCAGTCAGAGCAGTTGCGATGGCTAACGGCGCAAGCTCTGCTGCGTCATCATCTGCGTCCTCGTCAGGGAATAGTGAGATGAGTGTGGGAATGCCAACTAGTCCCACAAGTTCCTCAGGCACTTCCGGTTCCACAGGCTCTAGCCAGTCTTCTAGTCAAATGGCGGGCTCGCAGTTCAGCCCGTTGACCCCGCGTCAGAGGGAGCTTAGAGAGATCCAGCAGGTCGAGATGCTCCGCCGTAAGTTAGAGAAGGACCTGAAAGATGCTACCGATAGAGAAAATGCGATGAAAACTAGAGCAACCAGGCTTGAATCTTTAGAGGCTGACAAGGCTGAACTAGAGGGCTTGGATGAGTCAGCGTTGACTGACCCACTGAAGGTATTGAAGAAGAACATGCTGTCATTACACGCACACGTGGACAGCAAGTTAGACTTCATGCAGAGCACTCTAGACCAGATCCTGGATGCTTTGACAAGGCCAGGATTCCGGCCACCAGCACAATCGTCGTTGCCGTTATCGGCGATGTCAGGCCCCTTTCCAGTTCAAGCTGGCACACAGCCAAGTGGCACATCTGCAGCAGCCGCTCAGACTGTTGCATCTTCTTCTTCAGGTCCAACGGTGGTTGCTACACCACCGCAACAATCTGTTCCTGCACAGGGACAGCAGCAAGGTCAATGGTATCCCAAAACCCCAATGAAACCGCCTCTTGCCTTCTCAGGCGAGAGAAAAGACGAAGAACTCAACACATGGTTGAGGACAGTCCCGGTTTGGGTGAAGGCCAAAAGGACCTTGCCTGAGGACGAAGTGGTAACTGCTGCATCTTACCTCGAGGGTAAGGCAGCCAAGTGGTTAGATGGTGTAGTTATCAAGGCCGGGTATGGGAGACACATGGCGGACTGGGCTAAGTCCCTGACATTAGACCAGTTTATGGAGATGGTAGAAGCTCGATGGCATAACCCACAGGAGGCACAAAAGGCCACTGATGCCATTAACAAACTGGACCAACGCAAGTTCAGGTCAGTTAGGGAGCTTACGACTACCGTTGAGAGCCTGATCCTTGTCCCAGGTATCAACTACAGCGACCAGTTCCTGTTAACAACGTTTGTTAGATGTCTCCCTGAGAACATCAAGAACTTACTAGCCAGTGAGGCACGCACTAAGTACCACTCGTTTGAGACATTGTCTAGGAAAGCCTTAGACTTAGAGGCCACCCTAGGCAATGCTCAACCCACCTGAGGAAATGACTCAAAGAAGAAGAAGAGTCCCCAGGAGTGGAAGAAGAAGGGGGCAAAGTTGATGATGGTGGAGTCCGATGAGACTCAAACTGAGATCGACGAGCTCTCTGACCTGGTGGACTATTCAGAGTATGATGGCGAGGAGGTAGCTGAGGGTAGCACCCTTGCCGCGGTTGTAAAGACTAAGGCAGGTGGCCGAGGGAAGGGCCAACCTAGGAGTCAAGGGAAGGCCGCCTCCAATCAGACCAAACAGTCTGAGTGGGTAAAGGC